TGAGATTTTTCTTAAATAAAATTATTCCAATGGATATAAAAACCAATATTCAATCTTTCTTTGTCAACAAAAGCAAAAATTTCTTTGCAAAGTTTTAATGCAAATTCAGAAAGATTCGGAAAAAGTTATAAATGCATACAGTATATACAATAGGTGTAGCACTTTTATAAAGGGTCACCGCATTGCGGTCTGACTACGGGTTCAAAAAAAGAATATAAAATAAAACAATAAGTATAGCATTCACCGTTCTATTGTATTTTCTATAGAATTCTTACCAGTCTTTAAGAAATTAAATTAAAAATATACAAGTCAACAGGTTTAAAAACATTAATTTATGAAACTTTTTTACGTACAAGCTATTTTGTAATTGATGTCTTGTAAAAATAATTTAACTTATTCATTAAGGAAATTAAATTTATAATGATTAATTTTAATGAGATATACAAGCAATTTACGGTATGAATTGTTCATGAATCACAAATAATTCACCATTAATTTAATGTTTTCCTTGAAGAAATTTAGCATTGTTTGTAATCTCGAGAAAAAATTTACATGAATACATCCAAAAGTCAACGCTCTCCATATCCACAGCTATTTCACCGTTGTAATTGATTTAGTTTTAGTCATACTCCGGGTGATTCTTCGATCCGGTGTGGCAAGATCGATGTTTGTGTGAGTAGCACTCTTTGGCGTCTCGCTTCTCGGTCGCCCTGCCCTTCTTTTACTTTTTGGTGTCTCCACGATTTTAGGCGTGCGTTCGTTTTGTGGTGATGAAAATGGGGAATGGTTTGGTAGGGCTGGGAGTTCGATATTCTTTGGTTTTTCGGGAGATTTTGATGTGGATGATGCAGAGAATGGTGAATGACCAAATAGCACAGAATGAGCGATTGGCGTTTTATCCTTGGCGTTATCACGAGGTCGGTTTAAAATCTCGTCGTCCATGTCCGTAACTTCCGATACACCAATCATTTCTAATTAAAATGATCCGTATATAACTTTAAGACCAAAACCACGTAAATGCTGATTATAAATCAGTATAACTAACCTTCAACCACGACGGTGTCTTTATTTAGAACCTCGTCGATTTCCATGAAAACTTCTTTTTGTTCTGAATCGGGCAAAATTTTCACAAGATTTTCAAAATATTTGTTTCTCATGTGTGTGTTTGATATTTCGCTTTCGGTACCCTTACATTGCCGCTTAAATAACTCATTCCGCTTGATGGATTCCGGCATCATACCATGATGCAAGGTATAATAAATCCAAAAGACTTTGCATTCCTCTAAATCACTACTGTCACAATATCTTCTCACAAACTCTTCTTCA